CTTGTCCATGTTTGTTTTTTGAGGAGGAGTGTGGTTGAGTTGCCGGTCTATGAGGCCTTGAGTACTGTTGTCTGTGTCTGTGTCTGTGGTAGGTTTTTTGTTTGTGGTTACCGATGCGTAGCTTCTTTTAGGAAGGCGCCTTGCGATGTTCTCTAGGTTGTTGACTGAGTTGGTAAGGGTGGTAATTGTGTTTTTGAGTGGTTTTCCCTCGGTATAGTCCCGGAAGAGGTTGAGTAGGTCCATGAGAGCGAGTTTCTTGGGCTGGTTGTCTTCAAGCTCAATCGCCTTACACAGAAGGGACCTAGATGCTATAATTGCGTCATCGGAGGTTTCTGGGTGGGACATGAGGGCGTATTTTGAGGTTAAGTTCAAGGATTGGTTGCTTCTTTGTCTTTTGGCTTGAGGCTGGGTTTCTCTGATTCTTTGGGAGTTGTTTGGCGTGCTAATGTCTATAAAGCTAGGGTTGTTTTGGTTTCGTTGGATGTGGTTAACTGGGCTGGATGGCGCATAGCCTCCTAGGAGGTAGTCTTGGCAATTGGCGCTAGGTGTTTGGGGGATTGGAGTTCCCAGGGTGATAATTGGGTAAATTGGGCTGATGGGGAGCGTGGGCTCGTTGAAGAGTTGCATGGGTTCGTAGGCTGTTCCTTCTATGACTTCTTGTTGCCATTCCGGGTTTGACTGTGTTTGGGTCGCCATAGTAGCGGCGTTGGTGGTGTAGGGGTTGTGAGAGGTCAGAAAGAGGGGGTGAAAATCTTTCACGTGATCTTTTGACGGATATATCTCTGCCACCAGAGGGGCAGGCCTCCTGGGAGGAGAGGGGAGTGGTTGAAATTCTAGCTGCTATCGTTTGGTTGAGCGGGATTGATGGAATTCGAAGAAAAGTTTTCCTCGAAAAAGTTGTGTGTCTGATGGGAGGGAGTATTTATCGGCTGAAAGGAGGAATCTGAGAAGATATAAAGTACCTCATCTAGAATCTTGTGGACAAGAAAGTGGGAGAAGCTAGATTTATGAGATTTGTCGAAACTGGGTGGAATGTGATTATGTGATAACTCCGATATCCACTTCAACCAGGGTACGCGGTTCCTAGGTTTCAACTGTACTCGAAGAGTTGGTAAATCCAATCAATCCCTAGTAGTCAAGCAAATACAACAAAGAATCAACCTAGTCTTTCTAGAATACAACCCACATTCCTCCTACTCCAGACCTGCAATACCAAGTATAATAAACACTCAACACCCCTTCAAGACAGGAAGAGATATTGACCAATAATCGACCCTCCAGCGATATACGCATACCACTCCACTCAAAACAAACTACAAAAAACCCCCTCGAAGCACTACTCAACAACACTCATACATAACGATCAGGGAACTAGACTTCCGGAGAGCATTTCCACCTACCTGTATTTTTACAGGCTATTCTGTGCGCGATAGAAGGCATGAGGAAGTACGATACCAAAATATCTACTCGAGAAGCTTTGGACCGGTCTTCGAGCTAGTGGAAGAGGAGTTTGGATTCTGTGGATATTACTAGGGTCGGTGAGTTAAGCACAGAGAAGGGGAATTTGGGAGTTTCGTTTGTTGTATATAGGCGTGTGATTTTGGATTCATCTAATCTGGAGTTGATTCGAAAGTGTCTGTTAATAGATATGCCTAGCTTAGAGATGATATGCATAGAAACTCCCTTGACAGATTGACGGATGAGATGAAGATAGCCTACACAGCTATCAACGACACTACTTGTCCAGATGTACTCATCCCACCCTGCTGGCTATAGACTATAGTAAATATACCCCATAAATCACCCCCATACCAAAACCCACCAAACAAAATACCTCGCCATCAAACAATACACTCAATACCTTATTAACAACAGTCTCACCTCATCATCCCGCCACACCAAAAAACCTCCCACTCAACCCCCTCATTCACGTATACCATACCGAGATCGAATCCCCAGGCAATACATCATACAGAGGCCTGAGCATTTTGGTATCTTACACCAGGTTCCATCAACACCACCTGAACAAACATTCATTTCCGTACAACTGCTATAACTAGTTATAACGTTCACACTTCCATTGTACTACTACCACCTCCTCGCTTACTAAGTTACTACGATCATCAGAAAGCAGTAGGATGATAGATACGGATAAACAACCAGATGTCAAGAACCTCTCAAGAAGCCCCCAGAGAAAGAGAGAGGAAGTGCATGGTTGGAAAGATTTAGGTGGTGTTTCATATACTGTACAAGTAACTAATGTTTATTACCAAGGTCCCTCTTCCTGTATTACCAAAATTTACAATAAATATAATCTTGTTATTACAGTATAGTACAATCCTTGACGAAGTCCTGTATGTCGGAATCCAGCCGGAAGAGTTCAATTCGGAAGACTTAATTATCACAATAAACCTCCTTCCACAACTCCCAACCCCACCTTCCCTCCCCTCCTTTCCTTCCCCTCCTGTACCACATCCCCACATCCTCAACACCCCCTCTCCCCGCCCCCCTCCACCCAGTCCCCCGTCGCCCATCCTCAGAACCCCACCATCCAGAACCCAAAATACCCCCAACACCCCACACCTTGGACAAACAAAAACGCTTCCTCTCTCCTCAAACCCTAACCCTAACCCTAAAGCTTCACTTCTCAAACCTACTCGCTCATACTTCGACAGTGCGCTAAGCTAAGCGGTGGCTGTACTCGTGGGACAATATGGGAGGATCTTGGTATTCTTCTGTCTGCCTGGCTGCCTGGCTGCCTGGCTCGTTGGTGAGGAATATGAATGTGAATCATGAATATGAATCATCATGAAGGGATAGGATGTAATAGTACTGTATGAAGATGGTAATGAGATACTGATATGTATGAGTAGAGCGATTTTTAAGTAACTAGCTGCGGGAGATATCGCCGGAATTTCAATGCGACCATTGTACGCCGGTACGTTGGTTGCTTCTGGGGGTAAAAAGAGGGGGGGCTTTCGACTTGCTTTACAATTAGCACGGAGTGCTGAGATGGTCGCTAGGAGAGGGCTTGGGTTGATGTTGTTGGGTTGAGTTAAGGCGAGATGAGTGATACTAACAGGGTGGGATAGACCACACTAGTTGTATTCACGTATACAGAATGAGATATAAATCGAACGGAACAACGAGATATAAAACGAACGCGACAGACATCGAAAAATCATAATTCCATTTATTCCCCATTGCTATCATCATACCCCCATCCCCCATCCCTCATCCCCTCTACCACTCTATCCCATCTTCCTCCAAGAAATCGCCCCGCCCAAATCATACTCGCCGCCCCAAACCCATCTCCCCTCCCACACCCAGCACCCTCCTTCTAAACCCCCCAAGCAAAGCAAGCAATCTACTCAGCAACCACCTCCACACTCCTCTTCTCCCCATCCGCCTCGCCCGTATTAACCTTCTTGCCCGTCTTCTGGATCGTCTGCAGGACCCTTTCGTAGCTGAGAGTGGGCTCGGCGACGACGGTGGCGGTTTGGGTTTCGAGGGAGACTTCGTAGGATTTAACACCTGTTTTTGAAGTGAGGTTAGCTTTGCTTTCTAGAGTTGGGTTTGGAGGGGATTTGGGTTTTTGTGGTTCTGTGTGGTTTTTGTGGGAGTTGAGGATGGGCATGCGGATGGTGATGGAGAGAAGATGAGAAGAGGATGAGAGGATGAGGAGAGGTAAAACACCATTCCCATCACTTCCCCACCCCTTCCCATAACCAGCATCCTCTCCTCCCCCCCCCCCC